GTGGGGAGGACTGGGCTGCCTCTGTGGGCTCCTCGGGGTGGAAGCCCCCCTGCAGCCCCCCGATTGACACCCCCCCCCGGATGGCAGCCAGGCTGATGGCCAAGTGCTGTGATGTGCCGAGTGTGGGCACTCAGGGCACTCCAAGCCAGGACTGCTTTGCTGTCCCTCATCAAATTAGACAAGCAAGCGGGGAACCCCTGAGAACTCTCTGGGGTGGGGGTCGGGTCCCTTTAAGCACAGCCCTCGGCTAGCCTGAGACAGCAGCCCCACGCTCTAAGTCCTAATCTGATGCCCTGCCGGCACTGCTTCCGGCCATCCTTAACCTCAGTTCAGGGTCCACTCAATGTGGACATGCTAGTTCGAATTAGCAAGATGCTAATTCGAACTAGTTTTTAGGTCTAGATGCACTAGTTCAAATTAGCTTAGTTCGAAGAAAGATGTGGAGAAATTGGAGAAGGTCCAGAGAAGAGCAACAAAAATGATTAAAGGCCTAGAGAACATGAGCTAGGAGGGAAGACTGAAAGAATTGAGTTGGCTTAGTTTAGAAAAGAGAAGACTGAGAGGGGACATGATAGCTGTTTTCAGGTGCCTAAAAGGGTGTTACAAGGAGGAGGGAGAAAAATTGTTCTCCTTGGTCTCTGAGGATAGGACAAGAAGCAATGGGCTTAAATTGCAGCAAGGGAGGTTTAGGTTGGACATTAGGAAAAACTTCCTAACTGTCCGGGTGGTTAAACACTGGACTAAATTGCCTAGGGAGGTTGTGGAATCTCTAGCTCAGGAGGTATTTAAGAGCAGGTTAGATAGACATTTATCAGGGATGATCTAGACAATACTTGGTCCTGCCATGAGGGCAGGGGACTGGACTTGATGACCTCTCAAGATCCCTTCTAGTTCTAGTGTTCTATGATAGGAAACCATTTTTGTGCTTTTCTTGTAGCAGCCTGGGGTGGGTTAAACAATATGCAGATGTTGTATCACAACCCTCCCATATTCTGCCTTGTACTGTTCCAGATCTAACAACAAACAATCAGAAAGTGGAATTTATAAAAATATGAGTTAACATGAATGAATGGGAATTACACAGAAATGATTTCAAAAGAAATTGGGGAGCACAAAGGTTTTCCTGCTGCCTGACACAGGCTATTTAGTTACAGTTCACAATTCATTTTCTCTGGAGATTCCAAAAGCATTTGATTTGGGGATTTCCATAGTTCAGTTGTACTCTGATGTGGCATTATGTCATTATCAATGAGTAAGGCTCAATGACAGCAGGTGACTGTCAACCAAACTGCCAAGGATTTTAAAGCTGTTAAACTTAGAAAGGCAAAATCCCTATTATAAAAACGTCACAAAAGTTAGCAGTAAGTTAGCTAGGTCAGGAGCCTCTGCTGCTATTAATTGCTGATCTATAAGTATGTTCATACTTAAGTATAAGTATCTGTAAGTATGTTCGATTAAGCATCTCGTTTCAGACAAGCGAAGAAGAGGAACTCAAGATCATCAACAATTCCATGCAGCAAGCTATTTTACCTTCTCTATTTGCTCTGCCTCGCTCGCCGTGTACCGCAAAACCTCAGAGGTTTCACTGCAAAAAGAGAAATAATATTAAAATCACTGGATATAGCTAACTTGCCCTGTGGGAAAACAAGAGCAAATTATTCATGCTGAAATGAAGATGCAATATATCAAGAAAAATGGAATAATTTCAAATTAAGATTTTTTTTGTGAGAAGTAGACCATTCCTTGCATTGCTCAATGTTTCTTTCTTGCAACGAAAGCTTTTAAAATCCTAAACGTCAGACTTAATTTCAAATTATCTAGGTTCAGCTGAATCGAAGAGTTTGCTAATAGGGCATGTGTCCCAATTAGGTACTTCTGCCCCTATTCAGTAGAGACAACTATTAGCAGCAGACAACATTTAGGGATGTTAAATTTAGATTAACTGGCTAATCAAATAGTTGATGCAATTTGCATTGACAATTCGATTAGTCGATAAGGGCGTTCAGGGTTGTTGCTACGCTTCAAAGGCAAAAGCTCTGCGGGAAGCATGGGGCAAGCGGGGTAGTCCCCCACTGGCCCCGAACTCCCTGCTACATTTCAAAGTGGAGTCCAGGGTCGCAGCTGCTGCTTTGAAGGACACCCTCCTCTTCCTGATAGAGGCAGCAAGGGGGGAGGGAGGGAGGAATTAGTCAACTAAGGTGTCAACTATCTGATAAGCATTTGCTTATCAGATATAGTCGACTAGTCCTTCACATCCCTAAGTGAGAGTCTTGCATTTTACAACTACCACTTCATTTGTGGATTATTTCTGAAGAGGAGTAAATTGGTTACCTTCTATCTTGGTAAAGAAAGATAACTGACACAATAGTGATAGAAATGTAGCCGTGTTAGTCTGGGGTAGTTGAAGCAAAATGCAGGACAATGTAGCACTTTAAAGACTAACAAGATGGTTTATTAGATGATGAGCTTTCGTGGGCCAGACCCACTTCCTCAGATCAAATAGTGGAAGAAAGTAGTCACAACCATATATACCAAAGGATACAATTAAAAAAAAAATTTAAAAAAAATCATATTTGTTCATTTTTTTTAATTGTATCCTTTGGTATATATGGTTGTGACTACTTTCTTCCACTATTTGATCTGAGGAAGTGGGTCTGGCCCACGAAAGCTCATCATCTAATAAACCATCTTGTTAGTCTTTAAAGTGCTACATTCTCCTTAGTCCAGGTTGCCTACTTACCTAATTTTCATAATCTAGTTGTTCACCATCAAATATTTTATTATCTCTCCCCTGTACTTGGACTCGGTGGACCATTACACTGCCAATAATTTCCTACATTCTAATCTGAAATAAACAGTCTGCTATAAATCATTAACACTAGAGCTAGTCAAAACTCAGGATTTGTGTTCCACAGGGAAAAATCCTAGAATTTTCTTTTCTCTCAAATTGTTATAACTGTCCCACCCGGGCAGTACCACCATGTAAGTAACAAACTTCATTGCGTTCACTCCTGTGATCCACAAACAGCCCTGAAAAAAGCGTTAACTGCGTACCTGTCCTCCCACGTAAACCACCGTTAATGCAAGGCACCCCTGTGTTTTTTATAGGAGCAACCAGTCATCCTGGACCCTTTGATTTTCGGAAGCTTCAGGGGGTAGCCGAGTTAGTCTGTATAGGATAAACTTAAACAACAACAAATGGTCTGGTAGCACTTTATAGACTAACAAAACATGTAGATGGTATCATGCGCTTTTGTGGGCAAAGCCCACTTTTCAGATGAAGCCCACGAAAGTGCATGATCCCATCTACATGTTTTGTTAAGTCTATAAAGTGCTACCAGACCATTGGTTGTTTTTTAAGTGTATCCTTTTACAGTAAAACTCCATTAGTCCGGCATCCAATGCTCCGGGACTCCTGATGGTCCGGCACCATCAGGAACCCGGAAGTGCTGGGGCAGCCGGACAGGC